ATAATTGTCCCATATGAACGTATACAACATTATCATTAATGTAGCAACAAATAGGCATCAGATTATGTATTAAGCCGCAGGGTAGTTACAGTTACAGCCTATTAAAGTCCACTGCTGGACACGGGCCTCCCCCATAGATTGCTTCATGGGGGGGAATATTTGCCAGCCACGCGAGTTGGCAACTGCATTTTTTTAGTCGTTATTAGGAAGACGCTGCTGGCCATCTCCTGATTTGTTTCCCTCAGTCGCCTCTTACGACACACATGTGATAATATGGCGCAAAGGATAAACTTACACCGCCACTACATGATAAAGGGTAATAACCATAGCGCCAATATATTTTTTAAGACATCAAATCCTATATAAAGTCTACCGCTGAATTAGGGCCTCTACTATAAATTGATCCATAGGGAAAATATTATCTGTCTACGCTGCCGTCTTAGTCCTAAGGAGTGACAACTTTGAAGTGAGAAATGGATATTCTTAATAGAGGATACATGTGTCTATAGATCAAAGCATCCACTTACCACCAGGAGTGTGTGCTCATTTGAGTGACTTAAAAAAAGGAGGAGGTTCTGAATTCGAATGTATTTTTTATATGTGTTAACTCGGGACTTCTTTCCAGTTGAACCGATTTTGATGATTGTTTTTTTTTTTATTTGAAAGCTGGTGCTTCTTATGTGGTTCCATATAAATATGATCAAGATATAACCTGTAGTTTTTGAGTTATCCTTAATAATGCGTATTTAATTGACTTCGACTACATTGATGATGTTCTCATTTTATTTATATTGAAGTCAGTTGTACAAAATTTTAATTAAACCACTTGTTCATTCATATTATATAAAAATAGGAAACATTTTTTGTCTACATCCATAAAGATTACGGCGTCAGGAAGGATTAGCTTTACGGCGGGTGGTGTTAGGGTTGGCAGGAGCTTTATTGTGTATTTTTAAGAAAAGAATGTTGTTATATAGGGTGATCGTGTTAGACGAGGCAAAGGAAAGTACTATTTATGAACCTCGTTGAATTACTTAAATGAAAAACAACTTATAATACCCTAATATTTATTATTCCATGTGAGAGATTGTGCTACTCATATTATGTCGTGGGTGTCGGAAATAGAAACAGAGGGCAACTGAGGTAATAAAAATTTGCGACTACCAACCCACCTACCAAAAGCTGCAACAATAGCAAATATTTTCTTTGTGAGACAATCTGTGGGTATGTCCAACATTAAAATTTTTAATAGGATGTAACGTATTATTGAATATAATATTATAATATTAATATAATGATTATTAAATGCACTTTCAAGAGCGTGGAAGAAAGTACACAGCACACAGCAAATAAGATACACTATTTTTTTAAATGTTTCGGGCAGTGTGAGCCTCTTGGGACCTTTTTACACAACAAGGAATTTTTAATGAGCTTGAGGCATTTTTTCCGTCCGTCCGTCCGTCCGTCCGCTCGTCAGTGATTTTGCTCCCTAGGTGCTACAATACTGTAATTTGGCATAGTTATAGATATTAATCACACCTAGAAAACTGTGAAATAAAATCAATTACCAAACAAGTAAATGTAGGATGATTTTTTACCCGTCTATTCCATCATTTGGGATATCGTTGGATATGCGTTTCAAAAACACTGGGAGCGTGGAACAAAATCTTTTCGATTCAGGGGTCCGTTTGTGAAATATCCTGGCTCCTCGTTATGTCGCTTTATACACTTTTTTTTTTAAAAAAAAGTGTATAAAGCGAGTGTGAATGAAACTTTTGGAAGGGGTAGACCTAGGCGGACATTTCAAGAGACATGTCAAGTGGACCCTACACCGTAGAACATATATGAAGAGAATAATGAAAGTGGGCGAAGCGAAACAAGTATGTAAGGATCGTAGCAAGTGAAAAGAAGTGGTCTCTACCTACCCTTACGGGAAAGAGGCGTGATTATATGCATATGCAATGCGTAATATCGAAACTATTGAAAGCCTTCGTCAGAAGCATCCTTCGGTCAATCCTTCTCAAGGTTTACCACTGCCTCTCAAGACTTCTATGCAACCTTTACAAATTTATGAAAAATACACTTTAGAAGCAAATATATAATTTTCGAATGGCTCTGCTGGCAGTATTGACGGAATTACGCCTCAACATCTTAAAGATCTTGTAAGAGCTTCTGCCGGTGACGCCGGCGGAGTACTTCTTTATGTCATTACATAATTAGTAAACTTTTTGCTTTCTGGTAATGTTAATCCAAATTTCACTGCATTCTTATATGGGGCAAGCTTATGTGCCTTCAAAAAAAAAGGATAACGGTTTCCGTCCTATTGCCGTTTGTTCCACATTTCGACGCTTAACTTCAAAATTAGCTTACAGGCACATAATCTCTAACCTTAAATTTTTAATTTTAACGCTGAATGTCTAGTACCTGGACGACGGTACACTGGAAAGTAGAGCAGATGACGGTCTCAGTGATCTTACTCATATTTTTCGAAATTTTAAAAATAAACATTTGTCTTGAACCAAATAATAATAAATGTGAAATATTTTTTCCAATAATTTATCTACTTCTGATATAGACAATTTAATCCAAAATTTCAATCATATTTCTCCCGGAATAAAAACTGTCAGTACGGAAGCACTATACCTGCCAGGTGGCCTGTTGTTTTTCGATAGTATTAAAACGGTTTACTCACTTTGATAAATTGTATATATTAAGCCCCCACATTGCTCTTACGAAAATCTACTTAAAATATTGTCTCCTTCTACCTAGATTTACTTAGTAAGTATGTAAATCTAGGTAGAATCCAGTCTAAAAATGTTCGGATATTTTAAAAGATCTTGATAATAAACTTAAAAGAGCTATAGAAAAAATTCTAAATCTAACTTTAAATACAACAGCCTGGACTCAAGCTACTTTACCTATAAAATAGGGTGCTATTGGTGTGAGAAATTTTTCTAGCGTTGCATTGCCTACTTTCCTTGCTTCCGTGCATCGTATCAGTGACTTATGTAACATAATTTTATATAATAAAGTAGACCTATGCTTTGCTACGGAGGAGGGCAGACATGGCAAACGCTCTGTTTGGACGAAAATGTTCCACTGGAAGTTAACCAACAAAAACAGTAGGATATTCTATATATTTCTGATTCAGATTTGACTTGACTCAGATTTGTTTCATAATTTCCATAGTGAACAAGATAAGGCATACCCTCTAGCTGTTTCAAGTAAGGAATCTAGTCGCTGATTATGTGCTTTACCATCAAATAATCTCGGCACATTACTTGATGGGGAAAGCTTGCGCATCGCTCTAGGATTCCGACTAAGAGCGGCGATTCGTCAACCCCATCAGTGCCCCTGTGGTAGCAGCGTCGACAAGTTTGGGCTCCATGGACTGTCATGTAAGAAAAGTGCTGGTAAGTTTTCACGGCACGGTTCTTTGAACGATGTCATCCGTAAGGCTCTTGTCTCTATAAATGTTCCCTTGGTTTTAGAGCCTTGGGGAATATTTAAAGACGATGGCAAGAGACCCGACGGTTTGGCATTGGTCTCTAGGGAGAGAGGTAAAGCCCGAGTGTGGGATGCTACTTGCGCAGACACTCTTGCGGTCTCTCATCTCAGGGGTACCTTGTTTAGAGCCGGGGCGGCATCAGAGGCAGCTGAACTGAGTAAGTGGCGCAAATATGAGTCTCTGAGAGATGACTACATTTTTGTGCCATTTCCTGTAGAGACTATCGGTCCGTAAGGTCCACGCGTGGTGAAGTTCCTAAAGGAATTCCATCCGCGGCTGTTCGTTGCTGCTGGTGATAAGAGGGCTGGCTCTTTTCTCGCTCAAATGCTAAGTAAAGCCATTCAGCGGGGAAACGCAGCCAGCGTTCTTGGCACGATACCGCGGGGTGTAGGACTGTGTGATAATTAAGTTACTAGTTTTAGGTTTTTTTTTATAACAGTTTTTCATATTGTTTATAATAAAATATTGTATATTACGTTATGTAAATAAATGTTTTAATAAAAATCCCGTGAATGTTGTACTAACGCGGCTATAATACAATTTCCCATCACGTTACAGCCGCCACCCTAATATCGTTTCCGCTTTCGGCGTTGGCTTAATACAAGTATTTTCTAAATTACCTTGTGTAAAGGTGGGCTGTGTCCATAAATACTTGGAAAAAATGAGAGTCGTTTTCTTATTGCTGAATTTATTGAAGACTTATTACTGATAATACGTTGTAGATGCTGCAACTCTATTTTGGTTCTAGCACGAATGGAAGTGGTATATATATAAATATATATGCCGCCCCCGGGGCAGAACACCTTGCCTGGCGGGCGATCTCCCCTTTTGCTTTCACGGCCAAAATGTATTTGTACAGCTTCACGATAATGTACTTCTCGACTGCGCTGATTCGCGACAAGGTTCCTCCCCTCTAGTGGGGAGAGTCCGAAGGACTGTTACTGATATTGCTGTCACTATGGTAACCAAAGTAAACAACGTATCCAGTGGTACATACATTTATTTCAAAGTCTCAACGCTATGTCATTTCTAGTACAGCAACTCAATAATGCGTATTTTATTAGGTGAGCGGCATCTAGCGTGCAATGGCGGAACAACAATACTGTCTATCTTCTACGGATACACAATATTATACTCAACATACCGCCCACCTAGAACAACATTGTTCTACACCATGTACAAGTTTCAAAATACAAAATAAACTAATGCTAATTAACAAATCGATAAACTTACATTAAAACATTATTTAGTTACTGGTAATATACAAATTTTGTTTGTCGGTCGCTTAACAACAGTATTTTTTGTCTTTATGGAGACTACGCGAGTAATTTTGTCCGGACCCGGATGTTTCACGACTACTCTGCCATACATCCACCGACAAGGTGGTAGATGGTCTTCCTTAACGATGACAGCATCGCCTAAATTAGGTTCCGTCGTTTGGGAGAAACGTTTATCGCTTTGGAAAAAACGTCGTAAATATTCAGACGAACACCTTCGCCAAAAGTCCTGAACCATTTTTTGCGTATATTGCCATCTACGCAATGAACTAATATTTGAGGGTTCAAAATTCAGATCCGGAGCTACTAGCGGAGGTTCACCTATTAAAAAGTGTCCCGGTGTTAATATGTTCCCGTGTTCATTATCGTCACACAATCTAGACAATGGCCTGGAGTTTAGACATGCCTCGATTTGCGCCAAGACTGTCGCCATCTCCTCAAAGGTCAGCATCGAATTTCCAATAACACGTCTTAAGTGATACTTCACCGATTTCACACCGGCTTCCCATAACCCTCCGAAGGTTGGGGCATGAGATTGAATGAAATGCCACGTGGTGCCGCTGTTAGCCAATGATTCGGCTACTTCTGCCACCATATTGCATTTTTCCGTACAAAACAAATGGGCAAGTTCCTTAGATGCGCCCACAAAATTCGTCCCGTTGTCGCTCCATATCTCTTGACAATGACCTCTGCGAGCTACGAATCGTTTGAAGGCCTGTAAGAAACCTTCACTGGTAAGGTCGGATACGACTTCCAGGTGTATTGCTCTAGTTGCCATGCACACGAACAGGCATATATACCCTTTATAAGAGCGGTGTCCCCTTCCTTTGGAGACCCTTAGCTGAATAGGTCCAGCATAGTCTACTCCGCTGCACTTAAATGGTCGTGTTGGAGTAACACGAACAGCAGGTAATTGGCCCATTAATTGATTTTTTGTAACTGCCTTGGATTTAACGCACGTTACACATCTATGGACACAAGCCTTAACTAGTTGTTTTACGCCAAATATCCAATAGGTAGCATTCAGAACGGTAAGCATTAGTTGTGGACCACCATGCAGAGTTTTCACGTGAGTATCTGAGACAATTAGCTTCGTGAGATTACAAACCTTGGGCAATATGATCGGATGTTTCTGGTTATTTGATAGCTGGGATTCGCCTAACCGACCGCCCACCCTGAGGATATGTCGATTATCCAAGTACGGCGTGAGTACCCATAGCTTACTTCTTTTGTTTACGCTGCCTTCTCTTTGTAGCTTCTCTATCTCTTCCTGAAAGTGTTTCCCTTGACACTGTTTAATCACACATACTAACGCTTCTTTCAATTCATCCCCAGTTAGGTAGTTCATGAATTTTTGCCTTGAAGAGTGTCTTAACCCTAGGAACCGCCTACAACGTGCTAGTACTCGTAAGAGTCTGGTGAAAGATGAATAATTGTCCCACAGCTGCTCTTGGAGTGATGCACAATGAACGCGCACTTCTAATTCTGTACGAATATTTGGTTTTTCGTATAAAACCTCTTTATCGCGAAGGAATTCGGGGCCATCAACCCATAGATTGCTCTTTAACAAGTTTAGAGGACTCATTCCTCGGGAAGCAATATCTGCAGGATTTTGATCAGATCGCACGTGACACCATTGGCTTGAATCCGTCACTGATAAGATTTCAGAAACTCGGTTTGCTACGAAAACCTTCCAGCAACTCGGGTGATCACTTAGCCACGCAAGAACAACGGTAGAGTCAGTCCAATTATGCCAGTTTGATTTGTCAACGTTTAGTGCTTGTCCGATATCCACCATTAATTTGGTTAAAAGTAGAGCTCCGCACAACTCCAATCTAGGAATAGATACTTGCTTGACAGGTGCTACCTTAGTTTTTGCTGCAAGAAGTGAAACGTTAACGTTGTCTGTTGAATCGATCACACGAAGATACACTACAGCTCCGTAGGCAGCTTGAGAGGCATCACAAAATCCATGAAGTTGAAGTTGGGCATCGCTTGACTTCGAACGCAACCATCTAGGAAGATTAAAATCAGATAAGTCTTCAAGATTATTCCTGTAGTTATTCCATTCCAATTTTAATTGCTCTGGCACATCTTGGTCCCAGTCTATTCCTGTAAGCCACAGCTTTTGTATTATTATCTTCGCTAAGACTACACTAGGTGCAACCCAACCTAACGGATCATATAGACGACAGATATCCGAAATAATGTTCCTTTTTGTTACAGGTCCCACAATTTCCGGTAAAGCAACGACGTACTGAAAAGTGTCTGTGCTACGTTTCCAGGTAAGACCTAGTACCTTCGTCACTTCATTCATTTTTAAATGTAATCCATTATCCTTTTCCTTTTTTCCTTTTCCTTCTAGTTTCTCAATTTCCTGAAGAATTTCATTATTATTACTGGTCCATTTTTGCATTTCAAACCTAGCTCCCTTTAATATGTCACTGATGTCCTTATATATTTTGACTCCATCCACAACATTTTCACATCCCGTCATTAGATCGTCCATGTAGAAGTCATTTAGTATTTTTTGACAAGCATATTGCTTGGTACCATCCGTCACATCCCGAGCAGCCTGTTGCAATGACCTAACGGCCAGAAATGGGGCACACGCAGTACCAAATGTGACTCTTAGAAGGCGGTAATCAACTAATTCCGAAGATGGATCATCCCGCCACAACAATCTTTGACTGTCAACATCTGCTAAGTTCACTTTGACCTGCCGATACATTTTTATGATATCCGCTGCTAAACAGATAGGTGATAGTCTCCAACGCAGTATAATGTGTCTTAAATCGGCTTGTAACGTTGGTCCCGTTAACAAATTATTATTAAGCGAAACTCCGTACCTTCCTTTACAGGATGCGTCGAATACCACTCTTACTTTCGTAGTATCTTTATCGCTACGTGCTACCGCGTGATGAGGTAAGTAGAGCGCCGTCTCTAGGTATTTTTGTGGGTCTCACACTCTCTCCATGTGTTGCAACTCCAAGTATTCGTTCATTACTTCCTTATATTTATTCTTTAGTTCCGTATTTCTGTTTAACCTTGCTTCTAATGAATTTAACCTTTTTTTAGCTATTTCCCTACACGTGTCATGCTTGTAACTTGGATCCTTGGGTTTGAAAGGTAAGCGAACTACAAACCTGCCATCGACATCTCGGTAAGTAGTCTTACTATAATAATCCTCACACTGAATTTCCTCCTCTGTTAACAACGGTTTAGTGGGTTCTGTATCCGACTCCAGTTCCCAAAATCTTCTGAGTAACGCATCATCATCAAGGCGTGAGTGGAACGTTACTATGTTCGACCTTGGTACTTTTGCATTGGTAATACCTATTACGGATCGCCGTAATGCCGTGCGAAAAATGGAATAAAACGCGCTGGTCTTGCTTTTAACTGGAGGCAAGCGGCGGTGAGGAGGAACTTGTACTTTTTCTTTTCTTGCTGGTGCCTTTTCGGTGGCTGGAGAGCGACTGCTGACCCTAGCGGCCGGCCCGTCTTTTATATGATTTGGCCGCTGCTGGCCAGCGGACCCTTGCCTCACCCCCGCGCCTATCTTTATTTATTTAATAACCTTACAAACTAATAAACATAATTCACTATATAATATTCTTATAACTACTTGTTAGACTAGGGTGTACATATCAATATTTTTACTTATTTACAGGTTTACATTATAATTTTCAGCTGCTTTAGGCGGAGAATCCTTCCCCCCGCCTCAGCACTATAAATATAAAACGTCGTGGCGCGGTGCGCGTGGCTTCATTTGCTCCGCGGCCGCGTCACGATAACATGCTCTTTGGTTACACTACTACTATTATTTTATGTGCCTAACGGCCTAATATATTTATTATATAATAAAGTAAACATTTATTATATTTAACAATTACAGTTTTCATTTGAAGACTATGCTAACTCTCCCTGTTCATACGGTGCCTTTATTTGGGAGAGTTATTGCACAGTTACAACTCAACCTTAAACTTAGTTATAATACAATCATTATTTTTTATCGTTCGATACAAGTAATACAATTATTTACACAAATTATAATTTAAATTCAACATAAGGTTGCGCTAGTTCCGCCGTATAACCTTTGCTAGTTGTCGAACCAGAGGCGTGGCCTGATAATTACACCGTCGTCATGGCTCCGCCCACCGCTCCTAGGTTGTTCAACTAGCGCCGGTTACAATAAGCAATTTCTTTCGTTTGTTTAATATTGTTGCGTCGTGCACATTCTCCCGCCGTCGCCACGCTGCGATCCCTCTGGTAGCACGACGATCTTCTTCGTTGGTCTTCTTAGTATGTGCCCACTGCCGGTGGTTACGTCCACTACTCGTACCTCTCCGTCGACGCCAGGATATACCTTACTTATTTTCCCTCTGGGCCAGGTGTTGCGTGGTAGATTGGAGTCACAAATGATGACTAGGTCTCCAATCTTCGGCGATACTCCTATGCTGCTGGGCTCCCGCCGGTGTTGGAGTAGGGGCAGGTATTCTTTAACCCATCTTCTCCAAAACACGTCGGCTAGGGCTTGAGCTCGTTTCCATTGCTGGCGGGCCGTCACGTCATTCTTGCTGAAGTGTCCCGGCGCAGATACGTGCGAGTTGGGACCGATGAGGATGTGATTCGGCGTGATGGCTTCAGGGTCTCCTGGGTCGACTGAGACGTGTGTGAGAGGTCTGGAGTTTACAGTATTTTCGACCTCGGCGAGCAGGGTCCCCAATGTTTCGTCGCTGGGATAGCGCTCGTTGAGGGTGACGCGTAGGGCTTCTTTTACGGAGCGAACCATTCGCTCCCATACGCCGCCCATGAACGGTGCTGATGGCGGTATGTACTTCCACACAATCTGTTGACACGTGGTTTCGTGCTCGAGGGCTGCAAGTGCTGCTTCGGCCATCTCCTTGTCTGCTGCCTTGAAGCACGTAGCGTTGTCACTCCATATTTCTTTTGGGCATCCTCTTCTGCTCATAAAACGCCTAAGTGCCGACACGGCTGAGTCTGCGCTCAACGAGTGGGCTACTTCTATGTGTATTGCTCGCGACGTCATGCAGGTAAATAACGCGCCATAGCGCTTTTCGCGATGTCGTCCCACTGTGACTTCTATTGGCCCGAAGTAGTCTAGTCCGGTGTATGTGAACGGACGTGCGTGATGAGCGAGGCGTGCGGACGGCAGGTTTCCTGTAGACGGTGATGCAGGCTTGGCTTTTCTTAGACGGCACGGCAGGCATCCTTTGACGACAGTTTTCACTACTGGACGTATTTTTCTTACGTACAATCTCTGTCTTAATTCATTCACAACTGTTTCCACGCCTCCGTGATGCAGCCTCTCGTGTACGTGTGCTATGTACAGGCGAGTGTATGCGTGCTTCCCGTCTAATATGGGAGGGTCGTACATGTCGTCCTCCACTTCTGATGCCGCTTTTATTCGACCTCTGAGGCGTAGGGTCCCCTCTTCATCAATGTATGTGCTCAGGTGGCCTAGTTTGTCGTCGCCTCCCGGAACACTTCCGCTGGTGATTCTCTTGAACTCCTTCGTGAAGCTTTCCCGCTGACTGGCTTGCACCCACAGTTGTTCGGCTCTCATATGATAAGCGGCCGGTATTCCTACAAGCGATGAGGCAGTAGGAGTCGCCTTTTTCTCCTTGGCGGGGGTGTTGCGTTTGTTTGTTCTCTGCCAGCCAGGGTCGCTACCTTGTCTTGCTTTGTTGCGTTTACGCCCAGCCTTCACTACGTGCTTGTTTGGTCTGCACATGTCGATGAATAGGAGGACTCTCGCTGTCGCCCTTATGAGGCGAATCCATTTAGAAAATCTTCCTATCTGTGGAAGATGTGTTGTTGTCGAGTCTTCACTTTTAACAGCGATGTTACATATTTCTCGCTCTTCCCCGGTGTCATATTGTGTCGTTTTCTCTTCCTGCG